CAGCCCAGCAGGCAGTCCTCGTTGCCCATCCCTGGCCAGGTACCTTGACCCAGACCCCCCCCTGGGGTGATGCCATGAGGCCCTGTTGGTGCTCTGCTATCACAGCAGTGTCTTTCTCTCCCGTGTCATTTCTTAGTAAGTTCCTCCAGGAGAGTTCTCTCTGTACCCTCTTTGTACCAAGGACTATTGCTTTTATGATTTCTTCTTTTGTCCCTTCGTTAATGTATGACTTTGGTGGGGATGTGTAGGTGTGGGTATATGTGTGCTCAGATAGAATGGCAGATAGATACATAGCTGAACGAGTAAATAAAAACCTGAGTTCCACCTAAAAGGGTGTTCTCTTGGATAGGACTCCTCAGGCTTATTAAAATTCATCAGTTGGTGAAAAATACAAGTATTCATCCTCTTGATGTCCTGTTATTTTCCATTTGGGTTACAGGTAAAAACTCTTATTGCTGGAGAGTATCTGAACTAGAAATGCTGAAAATGTGCCAGGGTTCCTCTGATCATCATCCTGATATTTGTTTTTCACTGCACAATATGTGAAAAATGAGTAGTCGGGATCGGAATAACGTACTACCTCTATTCCCCTAAGTCGCTCTTCATACTCAGAGCTCTGCTCTCATCTGCTGTCTGGTTATGATTAATGGTAAGTGCCCGCCATTATTAAGTACCTTCTTTAATTTTAGGGATCTATCTTCTGGATTTAATCTACATTGATTCTGCATACCCTGCCTCAGGCAGCATCATGGAAAATGAACAAAGATCCAATCAGATGAACAATATCCTCCGAATAATTGCCGATTTACAAGTTTCCTGCAGCTATGGTTAGTACCGCTGTTGTTGGAATTGTGAAATCTTACATCACTGAATTTTGGATTCAGCACCTTATCAGTGGAAGGCTCTAGCAACCAGGGAGTCCACACAAAGCTCTTCATTTTAATGTCTTAAGCATCAGACATGTGCTGGGTCCTTGAGACAGCTTTGATCTACAGAGACTGGGCAAAGCAGATGTCATCACTCCCATGTTACAGATGAGAAACTGAGGCTAAAAGTCAGTCATTGGTCTGAGATCACACTCCCCCACTTCAGAGACAAGAACACTGAGGCTCCCAGGAGGTAGAAGCCATGCTCAGAACCTGTGGTGGGGGGCAGGGCCGCCTTGTGCTTTTCCCAGCGCCCCATGTACCTCCCCAAGCCCAGGGCTTGCCACCCTCTCCTGCTTCTCTTTGAAGCCTCCCAGTGCCTCTGCCTCTCCCCCCAGCTCTTTCTGTGTGTGGTGATCAGGAGGCCTGAAGAGAACAGCTGGTGACCCTTCAGGAAAGAGGGGACCTGGGGCTGCCACCCTCAGAGAGTCTCCACTGCAGCTTCCTCGGGCGCTTCCTCTGCACTGCGGACATACTATTGCCACCAAATGAGGAAGATGAAGCTTATGGCCAGTGATGCCTAGAAGTGACCAGGGATGGAATCTGGCACAGACCAGATGCCCCAGCTGCTCCTTCTCTTCCCAGGGCAGGCTTTCAGGGTGCCTGGCCCTGGGGTTCATCCTGGGGTAGGCAGGTGTGGGAGGCCTTTCTTGCTTCAGGGCAGAGACACCTGGCTCCGGTTTGTTCTGGAGCCACCTTTCCTCAGCCAAGGCTCTGTGGGGCCTCTGGGTGTGGTGTATACAGCTCTCGGGGAGGGGGGGGGGTACTTACTGAGCGCAGAGCCAGGCCTATGACATGGCGAGCCCAGCGCCCAGCACCCAGCGTGGGGCCTGACCCCAGGCACCATCGGCAGCCATTCGGAGTCTGAATGTGCGTCTCAGTACCTAAGGTTAAAGTCAGCGACTCCGGCCTTTCCCTGGGTCCCGGGGGTGGGCCAGACTGACCGCCCTGGGTGTTGCCCCCCTTTGCAGACCACCTCACAACCCTGCCCCACGTGCAGAAGTACCTGAAGTCTGTTCGCTACATTGAAGAGCTGCAGAAGTTTGTGGAAGATGACAACTACAAGTAAGTGTCACCCGCCTGTCACGTTGGCCAGCCCGCCCGGCCAGCCACTGCCCTCGCACTCAGCCCCACAGGCCGCCCGGCCCTTGTTGTAACCAGCGAGTTGCCCCCTGTGGGACTTACAGGAGTCACGGCGGCACCACCTGTGGCCCTGCCCCGAGGATAGGCACATAATGTATCTGGCCCCCCAGACCCCACGGGGGACTTGGGCTCCACAGCTGTGTGGTTGGGGCTCGGTGCTGCGGCGTCTCTCGAGTGACTCTGCTCCGCTGTGCTGGGGGAGAGGTTTGCCTGCCGGCCCAGCTTTCTGCAGGACTCCAGCGCTGGACACCGGCTGACACCGCTCCCTCTCGTGTGGCCCCTGGGGGGCAGACTCCGCTCCCGTGAAAGCCCCCATGCCCCCTGGCCTCCTTCCCAGTCACCCTGCTCTGGACTGCCGTTTTCTCCCTTCGGCCTCCGGGGAGGTCGCCAGCATCTTGATGGCTTTGGGGGAGGAGGCTTTTCCACGTCTGCTCTGGCTGCCGTGTGGGTTGGGCATCCCTGCGCGTGCCCGTTGGCCCTGCACATCGAGGCAAGGCTCGGCCGTCTTGCGGCTGTTGTCTGTCCGCTGCAGGTGACCTTTCCACATAGGCGTTCAAGCCTCTGCACACGAGCGTGTGTCTCCTATACGCAGACGTGCTAGTCTGTTCTTGTCTCCGGAGACCGGTTCACCTCCCCCTCGCGGGCCACCCAATCTGGAAAGCAGTCACGGAAGAGTGGGCGTGTGTGTGTGCGCACACTTGTGTGTGAGGCAGCGGAGGCTGACGGCTCGGCTCTGACTGCCCCACGACACCAAGTTGAAGTTTTTCCCTTAGCGAGTGCGTGGCTAGCTTTCCGCCCTTCCTGCCCTCGGGAGGTCAGACAGTCGCAAGTGGATCTGGCCATTCCTGTGGGTTCTCCCCACCAAACGATCGGCAAACCCAGTGGTTATGGCCAGGGCACCGTGACCCCTCTGACTTGCACCGGCCAACGTATTTTGTAAATTTCTTCCATTTTTTTGTCCCTGAAAATTTGATGAGCACGGTTACTTACTCTTCATCTGCATCACTGAACACTAGAGAACTGTGCCCACTGGAGACCCCCTGGTTCCTGGGAGCCACTCTCCAGGATCTGGGGGTGGCATAGTGCTCCCCACGGGCCAGCTCCACAGTGGGGGGCCCAGGCCTGCTGGGAGGTGGTCGCAGGGAGGCATCCTGACCCTGCAGATGTCGGAGGGGCCTGGAGAGCTGGACTGCCTCCGTGCTTCTAGGTGAGGGCCACCTTTGGGGTCACAGGCATGCCGCCTTCTGTCGTTACCATGAGACAGTTTGTTACAATAGAACACAATATGCCGACTTGATCTGTCACATGACAGTGACAACAATAGATGAAGGCCAAAGGTTACCATGAAAATTGTGTTTGCCAAATGGGGCTCATTTCACTCACGAGGCATTTGCAGTTCCTGAAAAGAGTGTCCTGGAGTGTGAAATTATCCCCACTTAGGTCCTGGGCTAATGTTTTCCATCCATGTGTCAGTATTGAGATTAAGAGACAGTGGTTTTTCATTAACACTAATAGCCTTTAAGGAGAAGAAATGGCCTATAAATACTTGTGACCATGAGCTAATCCTTGGACACGCTGCAGAGCGTGAGTAATCACTCCCGCCATGCAGGGCAGCGGACAACCCCAGCTCCGGATGCTGGACAGCAGCAGCCTGGGGTTCACAAAGGCCCTTTGTGGTGGTCCAAGTGGACAAACCCGGGGGACGTCTGCAGTCTCCCCGCCGGCCCGAACCTCCCTTCCCCTCCTATCGCAGGAGGCCCTGGCACTAAGTGGCCAGAGACGCCCCAGCTTGTGAGTTCCCAGGAACCGTCACGGCAGCCAAGTTCACACCTTCTTGCTGCATAACACAGGGCGCAGCGACTTAGCTAGGACCTCGGTGGTGATTCCTTCTAACGCTTGCACCCCAGGGCCCCCGTGCTCCGGGGGTGCCACACCAAGGCCCAATCCGCGCTTTGCTGAGCTCAGTCTTTAAGGGGTTTATTTACTGATGAAAAGTGACCCAGATTCACACCACTTTGAAAGCGCGGCTGGTAGCACCCAATGAAGGTGTGTGCAGAGAAGGGGAGTGAACGTGGCGTTTTCAGGTATCCGCTGTGGTGTGATTTCAAGTTTTCCAGAAAAAGGAATTGCTGTAAAGTCTAAGGAGCTGCCGCCCTTCGGAGATTGCGGCTCCCGACAGGGCCCCCGAGACTAATAAAGGTCAGAAGCAGCACAGAGAGGTGTGAGTCAGGTTGTTTTCTAGGATTCCACGTGAACCGGGCCTCCGAGGCTTGTCAGGGACGACCCCGGCCCCACACCTGACCCCGGCCCCACACCTCCCGCCCGGCCCCGGCTTGGGCTGGTGAGACCATGCCCCTGCACCGCCCAGCTTCACAGCACCCAGCCGCCAGTTCCCCGGCTAGACAGGCGCCTCCCGCTGACTCGGAAACCTTCCTTCCAGACTGTCGCTCAGGATTGAGCCGGGAAGCAGCTCTCCGAGACTCGTCTCTTCCAAGGAGGACCTCGCAGGTAGGCCGTGCCGAGCGGAAGAGTCCTCTTAGCCCCGGTGGGGTGCCAGCGCCGGCCCGCTCACAGCTCTCCGAACCGACCCGCCCTGGCTCCTGGTGACAGCAGGACGCGTAGATGAGGGGGGCCCCGGAGCTCGGGCCCCTGTGCCTGTGATGGGGCCGGGGCCTCAGGGGTGCGGCAGCACCCTACGGTTCAGCCCCACAGAAGGGACAGGGACACTTCACTAGCCATTCAAGACTTTCTTCAGGAAGTAATGGCAAAATTCGGGAGCGGAGTGGGCCCAAGTCCCCAAATGCCCTGCTCCCCCAGTTAGCTTGAGTCAGAGGCCCCTGCAGCTGTCTCTGCTCAGTACCCCTTAACAAGACGACCCAATTCAGGGACCCGGGGCCTGCCAAGAAATGTCCTGGCTATGGCCAGACCCTCCTCCTCCTCTCCCACTGCCTCTCCCCCCGGCCCCCCAGCCCCCACTGCCAGGCGGGAGGGTTGTAGACCAGGAGCCAGGAGCTGGGCTCAGAAAACTCACACTGCTGAGGAGCAGCTGCCTTCACTTCCAACCCGAGCTCTCGTCTGACCCCTCTCTGACGGAAGCCAGTGCCTGGAGCCCCGGGCCCGGCCTCCGTGGGGTTCAGCCAGCTCGCCCTCCGTCCCATCCACCTCCACCTGGCTCTGTTGTTTATTAGCCACGTGAGGCCAGAATCCAGCCAGCTAACGAACTTCCAGCGTCGGTCAGAACCCTGGCGGGAAGCAGAACGGCCTCTGATGGCCCACGGGAGGGGACCTGACCGAGGGCGCAGTGCCGGGAGCGGCCAGGGCCGGGCGCAGAGGCAGCCCCGGGCGCTCGGGGCACCCAGCCGCCGCCAGGCCTCGGCTTCTCCGTCTGTGCGTGGGCCCAGTGGGCGTGTATCTGGGGCCCGTGCGGGTGGGCGAGGAGCCCGCTCGGCAGCGGGCTGTGCTGAGGGGATGCTTGTGGCCAAGCTTGCTCTCCCGCCTGTCACCGGATCGGCCTTCGGGTTTCAGCGACGGTCACTGCCCCGGGAGTCTTCCCTCCTGCCCGTAGCCCCCCGGCAGGCCGGGCCGCCGAGTCTGGGCCGCGGCTGGGCCGCCCTGGCAGCCCCGCCCTCCCTTGCCTTGCTGGGGGCTGCGCTCCCGTGACAGTGGCAGTGGTGAGCGGCAGGACGAGGACCGTCCTCCTCAGCTCCGGCCCCGCAGAGGGCAGGCCGCTGTGTTGCACCCCTTGGGCACGCTGCGCTTCTCCACGGCCCTCCCCTGTGGTGGCGACACCGCCGTCTGTGTGCTGTTTGGCCCAGGTCTGCCTTCCCCGAGGCCAGGGCCCCGTGGGGGGCCCCTGCGCTCCCCCCAGGCCGGCCGGGGCACCTGGGTCTCCAGGCGTTCCCAGCTCCGCCGCCGCTGACTCTGCACAGCCCTCGGAGAAGTGCTGATGCCAGCAGTTTGCTCACAGCCCAGCAGCCTGTTCGCAGGGATTTTCCGAATCCCTGGCTCCGGCCCTGGAAGCCGGATGTTCGATTTTCATTGATCACCAGAGGGTCTGGGCGGGTCTGGAAGGGCCGAGGCACATGCCGGGGTCTGGGCTTTTGCCGCCTCCTCAGATGTCAGATGCGGTGTGTCTGCCACGGGGCAGCCTGGGGGTCCCGGGGGGGACCCGAGGGGCAGCTCCAGGGAGGTCTTCCGGGCCTGGCAGTCGGGCTGGGCTGCGTGGCAGACGCCCGACCAGACCGGGGACAGGAATGTGCCTCAGTCCCAGGAATGGAGGAACACAGCCTCCTCGGCTCCTCAGGAGGGGGGCTGGGAGCCACAGCTCTGCACTGTCGTTCTGGCACTGGGGCACCCCCATACCTGCCAAGGAAAGACCCCACGTTGTGTTGGCTCGTTCATCCACTCGAGTCTTCCAGGCCAAGGGCCTCCTGTGGGCCAGGCCCTCGCCGCGAGGCTAGGGGCCACATACCCAGTGGGGCTGGCCGGGCGTCCAGTGGGACGTGCCAGCGAGGGGAGACTGGCAGCAGGGGCCCCGAGGGGTGAGGTGGGGCACAGGGTCAAGCTGCAGAAGGAGGCCAGTGTGAGTAAGACCACGGTGGCCGGCGGGCACGCTGGCCCTTCCCTGCCAGCTCTCCGGTGCGCGCCCCTCTGTCGGAGGAGGGCCGTCGGGACCAGCCTGCGCCCGCACCCGCTGCTCTGAGCAGCCCCTCCTTGCCCCGGGCAGCAGCCGCGCGGCGTGTCCACACCAGCTGCAGGCTGTGAGAAAGGAAACGGAGAAGCCTTCTCAGTTTCTGGTCTGGGCAGAAAGAAGGCCAGGAGCGCCACGTCTCCAGCTCACCTCGTATGTAATGTTTGGTTTATATAAATGAACTAATATTTTCCTGGAGAGCAGAAGTCATACAGAACGTTGACCCCCAGAGAGGGCAAGCGTGTGCCTTGGACCCAGTGAAGACATTTCCAGATGGGAATGGCCCTGCCTCACGTGGCTCAACCAGCAGACGGTTTTCTCTGAAGGTTCCAGGACAGCCAAACCGGCCTGAAGAAATCTCAGCTTCGGGTTTCCGGGCTCCCACCAGTGGGACTTCTCTGCGACACACCTTTCCGTCTTCCTCGTTTTACTGCCTGATGGCAAAAACTCTGCTCTGGGGCTGGGCAGGCCTGAGTTCAAAGCCCAGCGCCTCTCACTCTGGGCCGCCGGCCTCATTCCTCTGAGCTTGGGTTTTCCAGTTGGTGAATCTGCGACAGGAATAAATCCTTCAGGTCGGCTCACTTCACAGAGCTGAGACTGTGCCAGAAAAAGCCCTCAGCTCCGTGCCTGGCACACGCTCCCCACAGGAATGTGGGCCATGGCTGTGCAGGCAGGCTGCTGTCCCAGCGGGAGGGACAGTGGGGCGCAGCGACAGAGCTCTGGACAGAGAGCCAGGCAGAGGGGCTCACTTCAGCTCCAAACGACCACGCACCTGCCGAGCCAGCCGCCACCTGCACCCAAGAGCCCAGTGGCCCCAGACCACTGCTTCCTCCGACGCCTAAGTTCTTCTGGGTCAGGAGGCCAGGCAGGGCAGAGCAGGGTGGCTTGTCCCGATGTCGCAGCATCCGGGGCCCGGAGGCAGGGGGCTTCTGTCACACGCCATCCCAAAAGCCTGGCCTCCCGCGGCCACTCAGACCCAGCCAGGCTGGGGAGCTTGCCAGCCGCTGTGTCGAAGCGTGCCAGCCCGTTCCTGCTGAGGAGACAGAGGGAACGGCCATCACCCAGCAACAGCAGCTTCTGCGCGTGCTGACCACAGCTGAGTGCTTCCTACGTGGTGGTTCAGGGGCCCTTAGACCCACCTTCTGTGCTGGAGCTGGTAGCACCTCCATTGTATAGGTGATGGGGTGCAGGAAGCTGCCCAGTCCCCCCTGACGTGTGGAGGGTGGGGCTGAGCCCCGGGGTCAGGCTGACTGTCGCCTGAACCCAGCGCATGGAGCAGGCAGAACGCATGAGGGTCCCCTTGCCCGCCTCTAAGCGGCCCCGAGCCACGGCCCAGCGCCGCTCCTGCGGACACTTGGGCTCACGTGCTTGTCTCAGCTTGGTTCTTAGGAGGCCGTTCCGTGTAAGAACCAAAATCTGATTTGACACTCAGTCTCCTTCCCTCCGCCTAGCTGGGTGCTTGGCCCCTCTCCCCCGAGCCCTCTCTGGCTCCCTCCGCTGGTTCTCTGTAAGGGCGGGGCCGGAATGCAGTCGTGGTGGGCTGCTGCTGTCTTGGGCCTCGGGGCTCCAGGTGCAACCCCTGTGCTGAGGCCTCTTCTCCCCGGTACTTTCCTGGGTTTTCAGAGACCACACAGGCTCCTTGGCCTGGGCAGATGCAAATCCACCGAGGCCTCTGCAGCCTTTTCATGGCCCTCCGAGTCTGTGCCCACTGCCGGCCGCTAGGCGCTTGGCTCCCCTCCTCCCTCAGCTCCTCACAGGGGTCCCCTCCGTCCTTGCTGTTCCACACCCAGCCTGTTCCCAGGATACCTGCTGGCACAGCTCATCCCGGTAGCCGCCTAAGGAACGGCTGTTGATGGCATCTCCCCAGCAGACGCGGCTCAGGGAGGCGGGGCCGGTCCTCAGGGCCTAAAGCCTTGTGGGGTGCAGCCACGTGGGCTCCTTGGGTTTGAGCGGGGCTGGGGGTGCATTTCCGTCCCCTCACCGTGCTGGAGCAGTGCAGCGCTCCCATGGGCGAGGAGCACTGGAGGCCCGTTCTGGTCCGTTCACTCCAGAATTTCACATCTGCTTTCCAAGTCTCGAAGTTCTGGTTCTCGAGGTCCCCCATCGTAGTAGCCTGTCTCATCGAGGCCACGCAGAGCGGCCCCGAGCCCGGCCCTGCGGCGGCGGGTCCCCCATGCTGCCCATGGCGCCCGGCGTTCCTCGCCCTGCCCTGTCCCGGGGAATGTGGGCCTCCTGGCTGCAGGGGCGAGCGTCTGGGCCCCAGCCACGGGAGCCATTTTCACAAAGAAAGGAACGGGGCATTCGGAGGGACGTGCGAGCTAGATCTTGGCTCGCAAGGACCCTTGAGAGCTGCATGTACGAGACACAAAGAATGCATGTGAATGTAGAAGTGACCAGCTCCCAGGCTCCACCAGGAAACCTGGCCAGAGAAGGGTTTCAACACAAACAGACTTTCAGGAGGGCCCAGCCCCTGGCCTGGCAGCGGGGTGCCCAGCAGCAGGAAAGAAACCACACCCGGGGAGCCCCTCTGGTCGCCCAGGGTGGCACTTCACCAGTTCCCCATCGCGTGGCCGCTGCTCCCTTCTCCAAGGAGGAGGCGGAGCTCAGAGGCCGAGGCCAGTGACCCGTGCTCCCCGCTCCCCGGGCGGAGGCTGGCCAGGAGCGCGAGTCTTGTGACTGCCCTGGACGTTTCCCTCCGCCCAGCTGCCTCCCATTAATTTCTCATGTGTGAGACTTGGCAAGTGCAGCCCGTGCAGGGCTGCCAGACTGGACATCGGGCACTCTGACCCTGGGCTGCCCGCTCGGAGGCTGCCGGAAACCCGTGGGAACGAGGCTCGTGTCGCGGCTCCGGGCACCCTTGGCCGGCACTCTCACTGCACCCCACCATGCTCTGGGCCCTGGGGAGAGCCGTGTCTGCTGGGGAGATGCCGACAGCTGTTCTTCAGGCACAAGTGGACGGGCATGGAGAAGGCAAGAAGCTGGAGCCCGAGAGCAGATGATGGGAGGGAGGGCCCGCGGTGCTTCTTGTGAGGACACGGGCCTGAGCTCCTGAGGCTGCGGGCCCAGAGTCTCATCAAAGTCCTCACTGCTGTCCGCTGTGACCCCTCGGGGGCGGGGGGCAGACCCATAGTTCTTTGCCCCATTTCTCTCTTCTGAGAAACGTACAGGCTGGACAGAAGCCATTTCTGGGCACGTCAGGCTCTTCGGCTGTGATTCACAGGAGAGGATAGTGTTCTGGCGCCGGCTGGTTGGCTGAGCAAGGAGGCAGGCTGGGCCTTCGGGCCAGAGGCAGGGGGGCGAGGCCTGGCCCCGGAGTGGGCGTGGCCTGCTCTGCAGGGTGGCGCTGAGCCTGGCCCGTGAGGCCCCCTTGGGAATGATGAGGGAGGCACAGAGCTCCCCGGCCATGGACAGTGGGGATTTTCTCGGCTACTTGTTCTGCTTACGCTTGTTTTACACAAGCTTGGCCTTTCCCGCCTGAGCACAAACACTGGTTCCCCAGGCTTAGTCGAAGGCCTTCCCTCTTCTCACTGGTCTCGCAGCCCTGGACACTGCCCACTGCCAGGGCTCCACAGGCCCCGGTCCTGACCAGCCCCGCGTGGCCGCCCACCGCCACCGGTGTCCTGTGCGCCTCCAGGGAGGCCCGTGGCCTCCGGGCCTCAGTCCCAACCTGCACTTCTCACCAGCCCCCACCCGCTCCCTGAGCAGATGCTCTGGCCTCTACCATGGGGACCCGGAGCCCCTCCTGGACGCCTCCCTTCTGCCTCTCCTCGTCCCCGCCTGCGGCCTGGGCCCTGCCCAGCTGGCCTGCACCAGCGCAGTCTGCTAGGGTGGGAATCGGGATACTTACTGCTCCTTCCTAACGGCCTCATTTCCCCTCATTAAACTCGGGGCTCCTCCAGACACCCCGTCGCTCTGGCCGTGACGGCCCCGCACACACACTCATGCGCCCACACCCTGAGCCCTCAGCTCCTCAGCCGCATGGCTTCTGCGGGTCCTCTGGCGGGTGCCGCGCCATGCTGAGGCTCGCGCGGGCTCTGTGCACGGGTGTTGGGCGCGGTCTCGGGCCCCTGCTGGACACTTGGGGCTGTCAGCGTCCAGTGGGTGACTCACTGCCCTCACCAGGCTTGCTGGACAGTTCTCCTTTCAACGTGGGTGAGCCCCCGGGGGTGGTGATCCGGCCACTGTCTCTGCCCCTCCCCAAGTGCCTCCTGCTTGTCCTGCCCCACCTCTGTCAAGGCAGAACAGCAGCTTTTCAACCCCTGAAGCAGAGGAGCTGACCTGCCTGAGGCCACTGAGCAGCCAGTGGCCGGCGCAGCGGGCTGCTGCCCCTGGGGTCCGGGGTCTTTGCTGTCAGCGGCCTGGCTTGGGCCGCCCGGCCCTTTCCTCTCCCAGGCTGCGAGGGGCCTTGGGGCAGCGTGTTGGCTTCTCGAGAGACGTGTAATGCAAACCAGGCTTTTTTCAACATGGTATCTCCTTCCCCACAGAGACTGTCAGTTCTCACATGTTCCAATAAAACGGCTAAAGAAACAGCCACTTAAAGAGCTTTAAAGATTATTCATGGAAAAATTATGCTGAGGAAAAATAGAGCAATCCTCTGAGATAGTCGGGCCCCACGGTCAGTTTTTCCAGCTGTTTGTGCCATATCAGGCAGGCAGCGGGACGCACTCTGCTGTGTGAGGCCGGGGCGGCTCGGGCCCGCCCCCGCCCTCCCCCAAGGACTCGGAGAAGCACACTCGCCCCCACCCGGCTCAGAAGCAGCCTGGGAGACACGGCCCCGTCACGTGGTGACCGCCGGACTTGCCGGGCGGGCACGTGCCGTCAGTAGCACAGTGTCACGTACTGGCAGGCAGGCCGTCCCGTCCCTGGGTCCCTGCTGAATGGAGACGCTTGTGCCTCCACACCAGACCCGAGCTGTGGGTCAGCAGTGCAGGGCGCGGCCCCCTGGGCCACACCAGCCCCCAGACTGCGCCAGGGAGGACCACGGCCCATCCTCGTCCCCCCCACCCCGGAGCCCAGCCTGGTCAAGGGGCACCGAGGCCAGCCTCCCTCCTACGGCCACCCCAGCAGCAAAGAGCAGGGGGCTGGTGGGCCAGGTCTCGCCCCGGAGGAAAATCATGAGCTGAGCAGGAGGCATCAAGGGTGAGAGGGAGGCTGGGGAAGCCTGCATGGAGCCACAGGAGGCGGCGGAGGGCGCCCCCGTCAGGGGCGGGCAGGAGGGGACGAGCGGGCCTTGAAGCGCCCAGCCCTCGCCTTGCAGCCCAGTAAAGGGCTGCAGACCAGCACCCCCGGCTTGCCCCGAGCCGTGGAGATACTGAAGCACCAGGTTGTCAGGAGCAGAGGGCGTAAGGGGTGTCAGCCTCCCTCCTCCCCGTGGCCCACCCCTGGAGGAAGCGCCTCCTGCTTGTCCTGCCACCTCAAACGTGTGCCCTTAGGTTTCCGCCAGCGCCTGGCCTTCGAAGGCCCACCACCCTGCCGCCCTGGCCCTGAGGGCGGTGTACCCCGTGGGAGTCCCGCCTTCCGCTTGGAGGGGTGTGTGGCCCTGGCTTGCTTACCTGGAACACAGGGCCACCGAGGGCCTCACCTGGGAGCTGCAGCTCACCAGGGGCGTCGCCCCCGCCCCAACCCCGGCCTCAGGGCACCTGGCCGCGGCCGCAGCACTGCTGCGGCCAGCACGTCTTCAGCTCTGTCACGGCCGCGGCCGCTCGCCGCCGCCATTATCACCGTGGCAGCACCGTGAGAGAGCTGCGCAGTGCTCTTCACCAGATGCTGCTGCGACCCCGGGGTGGGGGCCGGAGCGGCTCAGGCCGTGACCCCGCCCCGGCCTCTCGCAGGCAGGAGCGGCCGCCCTCTGTGTGGGTCACCGATTGAGCAATGTGTGCAAAATGAAAACAGAGCTCCCCTCGCCTCTGGGGCGGCCCACACGCGTCTTCCAGGACGAGCTCAGTTTCTGACCGGACTTAGAGCTGTTCGCCCAGGTGCCCGCAAGGTCACCTGGAGGCAACGTCCGGATGGTCTGGGCTGGCCCAGGAGCCCCGGTGAGGGCCGTGCGGGTTAGGAGCCACAGTCTCGGGAGGCGCGGGCAGCGCGGACCCCTCCCCGGAAACGCGTCACGAGGCTTAGACCCCACACTCCGGGGCCGGCCCCCGGCCCTTTCTGGGTGGCTGAAGTCCCGACCGAGAACCTCTCCTGTCTGGCGGGGCCTCGCCGACACCACCGTCACGCGTCACTCTGCTGGCGCCTGCTCTTCAGGCGTCGCTCACCTCCTGGAGCAGGACAAAGACGGCCTCCCCGCTCCTGCTGCAGGTGCCCAGGGTGCCGGCCCAGAGCCTGGCTTCCCCAAAGGGGAACCATGGGCCCGCGGGGCCCGAGGAGGGGAGGGCAGGGGGGCACGGGCTTCAGGAAAGGCTTCAAGAGGTGCCAGGCCCAGAAAAGTGGGGCCCTGTGACACCCCCGGTCTGCAGGAGTATAGCGAGGCAGCAGTACCCAAACCCGAGGGGAGAGGGTGAACCCCCTTTCTCCAGCTGAGCCCCTCCCTGCAGCCCATTTCTGCTGAGGCAGTGTGCAGAGAGCAGACTGGGCAGGCACAGGGGTGAAGCACCCCCAGAAGACACACCCAGCCGGTGGCTTTGCCAAGTCCCACCCCAGGGGCTGGGCTGCAGGCCTTACACCCACCCACACTCTCCCTTGGCCTCCCTGTCAGCCAGTGGGGCTGCCCAGTGGTGGGCAGGTGGCCTGCACCGGAGGACACTGATCCTGCAGCGGGGCAGCGGAGACCTGTGCCTCCATTGCAGGCACGCGGGGCTGGGGGGTCCTCCCTCGCCCACACTGGGCCCCCTCACCCCACCGCATCCCTGTGTCACTCTCTCTCTGTTCCCAGGCCCCTCCGCGGGTACCAGCTCAGCGAGGTTCGGCCGGCGGCCCACCTGTCCTGACGCATCCGTTGCTGGAGGCCTCCCGACGCCCCCAGTCCCGCGACACAGGAAGAGCCACAGCCTGGGCAACAAGTGGGTGACCAAGTGCCCCCACCCTGTGGGCTCTCGGCGAGCGGCATGCGGGGCGTGGGGGGGCGTTTGCCCACCCATCCTCTGGGGCTTGCGGCTGGGGCTCTTGGTATCCCTGGCTGGTGCCCTCCCTCAGGCTGGCACGGGCTGGCACGGACGGCTCCGGCAGTGCCGGCGGGGCTGGGCGACGCGGGCTGTGCTCTGGTGGTGGCGGGCGGGACGCCGCACTTAGCCGCAGGTGGAGGGAGGTGGCGGGCAGAGCCCTGGGGTGGTCTGCCAGGATCCAAGTCCAGTGGACAGTGGCCGTCCTCCGGAATGGCGCTGGGCGTGTCTTGTTGCCACTCTGGCCCGAGTCTGCAGAGAGCCTGTGGAGCAGCGAGGTGCCACTGGTTGACCACGCCCTAGGGGCAGATGCCGGGGGACATGTGTGGTCCTCTACGTCACCAGGGCTACATGATGCTGGGTCCCCTTCGTGGGCCTGGTCCCCAGGGTGTTGGGCGCAGGTTCCTGACGGCTGGCTCCTTCCTTCCCTCCCTCGGTCCCTCCATCTTCCATCCTTCGCTTCCTCCCACCACTAAGACACAGGCCTCGGCCCCAGGCTGGCCCTGAGCTGCTCGCGGGCTGGAGGACGGCGGTTGCTCTCGAGCGTGCGGTCTTGCTCTGTGCAGACACTGCTGGTGCTGCCAGGCTCTTTCTCCTGAGCCCACGCAGGCCTCCGAGAGAGGCACTCTGCTCGGCTCTGGCCCCGTGACCAGGCCATGGGGCCACAGGCCGGGCACCTTGCCGCGGAGAGCAAGGTCAGAGCGGGGGTCTGGACCGGTGTGCGACTGTAGAGCCAGACGCGGACCGCAGGGCCCCGTGGCCCCGCCTGTCAGCACCATCTGTCTGCTCGCTTGGGCCTCACCGTCATCTGGGAGACAGGCAGGACAGCCGGGGAGCCTTCTTCCCCAACTGACAGATGGGGAAACTGAGGCTCAGGAGAGGGACGGCTTGCCCAAGGTCGCACGGCAGGCAGGCAGGCTGCAGGCGCACTGTGGGGCGGGCGGGTCCTCCTCACAGCCTCGCCCTCCCCCTGCCCAGGCGGGCGGCGCCCTGGCCCGCAGATAAGGAGCTTTGCCTTCTCTCTTCCTTTCCGTTTTCCAGTATGATGTGTCAGTTGAGTGTAGTTGAGAGTAAAAGTGCGACATTCCCATCGGAGAAAGCGAGGCACCTGCTGGACGACAGTGTCCTAGAGCCCCGCAGCCCCCGCAGGGGCCTCCCCCTCACCTCCTCCTCCGCGGTCACCAATGGACTCTCCCTAGGTAAGCGTGAAGCGTCTCCGGCCTGCACACCGCAGTGGGGCTCGGCCAGTGTGTGCTCCGTGTCTGTCTCTGTCACCCCGCAGAGGGGCCTCTGCTTCCCGACCTCCAGGGCTCCCCCGCGCCCGGGGCCCTCATCCGCGAGCACCCCCAAGTGTGGCAGGCAGGCCGCGGAGGGCCGGCGGGCGCCCGGCCTGGGCCAGCGGGACCAGCGGGACCTCACTTCCTTGCCTTTGCCCTGAGGGCCCGGAGTTAGGGGGGCTGAAAAACGGAGCCCCGGCGACGAAGTCCCACGTCTCAGCTTCAGCCAGAGATGGCAGCTCCGCCAGCGGAAGGGCAGACGGTGGCGCTGAGGCTGGGGCGGGGAGCGGGCGGGGGCTGAGGCGGCGCGGGCGCCGTCCCGCGAGGCCAGGCCAGGCCACAGGCGGGCCCCCCGCCCCCTCGGTGTGCTGTGCTTCTGTGGTCTGTGTCTGTCTGTCCGTCTGACCCCCCAGCTGCCAGCTGGGGGCTGGGGCTGGCAAGGACCCTCTGTGGGGCAGGGCCCGGAGCCCGGGTGACGGGGCAGGAACAGTGGGCCGGACTCGTGTCCCACGTCCCCGGTAACGAGACCAGTCTCAGGGCAGCTGCCCTGCGTGGAAAACCTGTGACAAGCACGGCCCGTCGGTCCGTATGAGGGAGGGCCCCTAGGTGGTCGCAGTTGGGGGCGCAAGGCAGCTCGGGGTGGGCAGGGGCTGCTTGGAGGAAGGTCTGGGCCGCAGCTGGGGAAGGCTGGCGTAGCCAGGCCGCAGGCTTCTCCTCGGAACGCTGACGGGCATCTCAGGGGCGGCCTCTGCGGGCTTCTGAGGATCCACTCTGGGGAGTGCCGGTCCAAGAGCTCTCAGCGGGGCAGCGGGGCAGCTGTTCCCCGTCCAGGAAACTTTGCGAGCTGGCCGTGCTATTCCTGCGCCCGAAGGCTGAGTCAGGCCAGCGACGTGCTCGCTGTCCAGGCCGGCGAGCCCCGGGCAGCAGCTCGGCGCCTCTGCTCAGGCAGCTCCGGTATTTTTTCTGCTCAGAACTGATAGGTGGACGCCAGTTGGTGCCGTTTGGAGCTGGGCTGGCCCCCTCCATCCTTCGTGAGGGCCGTTCCTCCAACAGGTTCCCAAGGCCTGAGGCCTCCCCCAGCCCCATTCCCACTGCCCAGCCTCGGGGCCAGCAGGCCACCTCACACGGCACCTCTGGTCACTAAAGTGACAGGAGAAACCTTTACTGTCAGGCTGTGGAGTGTCCTCCCCGCCTCGATACAGGGCATCCAGGAGCCCCAGAGGGAGGGCGCCGGCCCAGGGGAAGTGGGCGCTGGCCTGCTCTTGGGGAAATGGCTGCTTACAGGCAAGGCCTGTCCCAGCACAGGCGTCACCTGGACCCGGCCGGAGGCCGGGGACCCAGGCCCCAGGGCCAGCAGCTCCAGACTTCAGGGACGAGTGGGAAGGGAGTGGGGGGCCCAGGGGTATGGGAGCAGGCTGGTTCTCTCGATCCCCACCCCCCAGGGCAGTCAGACAGCGGCAGCAGTGGCTAGAGCCGCACACCGTGCCCTGATGCCCACGGGGTGAGTTTGCCGCCTCTCAGGCCCCATGGAGCCCAGGACCTGCGCTTGGTGACCAGGAGCGCAGGCCCTCTGGGGTCGGCTCCCCCTGCAAGGCCCCGGTGCTCACTGATCTGTGTTCCTTTTCCAGGCAGTAGTGAGAGCTCAGAGTTTAGTGAAGAGATGTCTTCAGGGCTGGAAAGGTGAGTGTGCCTGAGGGAGCTGAAGCCAGGCTCGGGCAGGGCAGCCCTCCCCCCTCCCCCCACCAGCCCCTGGCCCAGCCCGCTGAGGCTGCGCTGGGCATCTCGAGACAGGGTCGGCTAGGAGAGGCGGGAGAGCAGGTGGGCATGGGCCAGCACGCAGGCCCCGTGCTCCGAGCAGCCCCCCTCGTCCCCTGTCTAGCCCAGAGCTGCCCAACAGAGTTGACGTGCCATGAGGGTTCTCGGAGCCAGAATGGGCCTGGTCTGGAGACGGGCGTGTGGCTCCTCCTGGTGGGGTCTGAGAGTGTTGCAGCCACATGGGCTCTGGCCGCCGTGGGGGGGACAGAAGTGGCCACCGCTGCCCTGCACCCCCTTAGGTGCCTCAGCCCAGAGCTTGTCTCCCTGTGCCCATCTGCCCCCGGGATGCGCCCACTGCCCCCGCTCACGTACCAAGGCTCCGCGGACCCGGGGTCCCTGGGGAAGCAGGGGCGGCAAGTGGAGAGGCCCCACGGCCTGGTGCCACCAGAGGTCAAGGGCGTCTGAGGGAGCAGGGAGACGCCCGGGGAGGGACACACGGCGCTGCAGAGAGGCGCCTGGTGGGGGCCTGGCACGCGCTCACACACGCACCACGCCACAGCCATGGGGCACCGCTCGCACGTGGACACGCGTGCTCCGCCCCTGGGCTGTTGCCTCCTGCCTGCCCTGAGCCCACAGTCGTGAGATGGCCTGAGAGGAGGCAGCGTCCGTCCCCCCGGCCCCGCCATCCTCACAGGGCAGAGGGGCAGCGGGTGACCGCGGCCTTGGTGAGCCTGGCCTCGCCCTGCTTTCCGGGCCCCAGAGCCCACTCCACACATGGCAGCCAGGCACCGGAGGGGGGCGGTGACCCGTCCTGCCTGACCCTCCTCGGGGCAGAGCAGAGCCAAACCCTGAGCGCCAGACCCTCGGGCCCACCTCTGTGTCCCTCTGTGCCCCAGCCTGGTCCAGAGGGCGCCAGGACAGCTAAAGGGCCTAGCCCTGCACCGGTCAGTCGGTCTTTCTGTCCTTGCGAAGCCAGAGAGGGGGAGAGGAGCCCGGAGGCTCCACCCTCGTTCCCCTCCAGGTACCTGGGGGAGGCTTGGCGGTCCCCACCAGGGAGCCCTCGCTCTGGGCCACCCAGAACACCAGACGGGCTCAAGGGCAGATGCCAGCTCCCTCAAGGGCAGATGCCAGGCCTGGGGTGAGCCTGAAGAAGGGGCTGCAAGCCAGGCCACCCCGCCCCAGGCCTGGAGGTGACAGTGGGGGAGAGGCAGGCGCAGGGCCAAGGGCTCATCGCTCACGCCCCTCACTGGGTAGCTGTTGGGGAGTGGCCGCTCGCTGCCAGGCACCTTGCTGGTCACTGAGGGCAGCAGAGGCTATTCCTGCTACGTGCCCAAGCAGGGGCTGAGCGACCAGGAAGAGGGCGGTGGGCGTTTCCTGCTGCTAGGCCAGACGACTCAGTTCAGGCCTGACCGCTGAAAGCTGTGGCCTTTCTCTTTTATCTCTTTGTCTTAGAATTTAGCCTGAGGGTCACTGTCCACCTGACTTTCCATACATTATAGTGCTTTGGGGTGGGACCTGCTGCCCTGCTGGTCACGGTCAGCTCCCAGCACAGGGCCCGGCCGTTCCTCCAGCAGGCCCCTCTCGCCGAAGCTGGGGCGGCGGCCGGTGTCACTCCAGAGCTGCAAAGGTTCTTTGGAGCCAGGTGAGTCTCCACCTTGGAGACCCCGCCAGCCTTCCCGGGAGACCCTGCAAGAATGTAGCAGGGTCTGCCCCTTTACACCTGCCGCGGTGTCAGAGCCATGGGTGCAGGAGAGGGCCAGCCCGCCGAAGAGTGAGGGCTGAGAGAGGAGGTGATTCTGGCTCCTGTCGCCCAGAGGCCAGGCAGGGGCGGGGGTGGGGAGGCTTTCCCGCAGACCGGCAGCTTAGGGCCCACTGAACCTTCAACCGAAACCTCCCAGTCCCCACCCTGGTGACAAGCTTGGCCCAGGCCAGGAGGAGCCTGGGCGAAGGGCAGGGACCCCCGCCCGCACACGCATGTGGTTTGAGGACACTTAGTCACCCTCTGCGCCTCCGTGAGCAGGTGGGCGCCAGCGCCCCGAGGCCCAGCGAGGGTGCGCTCACCGGCCCGGCCTGTGAGTCCACCGTCCTGCCTTTGCCGCCTGTTGGCCCAAAGACCATCCCTGGTGGCTGTGCCCTGTGGTGCCCTCCCGTGCCAGCCTGGAAGGGCGTCCCAGGCCCACGGGCGCCCGGCTCGTGGCGCTGCACTGCGGGGTGTGCCGGACACCAGGGCCCTCCTCCTCCTCCTGCCCTGTCCGTCTCAGCCTCAGCAAGGTCACAGGAGCCTGCGTACGGGGCGGCCGCGAGCAGGCGGGGTGGGGAGGTGCTGGTCAGGCTCAGCCCGGCTTCAGGACCCACGTGAGGCCCAAGTGGTGGTCCTGGGTCAGGGCTCCCAGAGCCAGAGACAGAGTCTCGGGGAGACAGACGGGGGGCGGGCTGCAGCCCTCACTTCCCTCCCTCCGTGTCTGGGAAGGACTGTCTTTCCTGAGCCCAGAGTAAGCCTCGGGCTGCTGACATGGAGAGCGGAAGGCTGGGTGTTAGTCAGGAGCTCTGAAAAGGCTCTTCTCGATGCCCGAATGGTAAGGCGAGTGTTGGCGCTAAGGCGAGAAGGAGGTTGTCAACCTACGAGTTAAATTTTGAACTGTGTGCGTGCGGAAATCCAGAGGCTCGCGCCGTGATCCCTCTGAGACGTAGGATTAGCCAGTGAGTCTCCTCCCTCTCTCCCTCTGTTCTCCAAGTTTTCCGCAGTGGGCAAATGTCTTTTTCTCTATCGAGAAAAAAATAGCATTTGACTTTCTTGAAGAAGATACCGTCAGAAAGTCTCTGCTGGGCTGTCGGCGGTGAGTGAGAAGTCGGGGGGCCGCTGCCCTCGCCGGCTCCGTCCTCGCTAGCGAGCGTGGCCTGTGCGCGGAGGCCCTGGCCTGGCCCTGGTGTGGCGGTGGGATACGGGGAGCCGGTCTGGGAGCCCCGTGGGCAGGGGAAACCCCTCTGGTGAAGGCGGGGAGGAGCCTGACAGCTCCTCCGAGGCCGGGACACTGCTGGGTAGTGATGCCCGGCCCGCGGGGGTCCTGAGGCCTGCCGCCCAGGCCAGCGTGACGGCAGTCGGACAGCGGGTCCCGGGTGGCTTTCTGGAAGCCTTGCTGGTTAAGAGATACCCAAGCACACTTGGGGAAGAGGACCACTGTGGGTCCTCACGGGGGCGACTGTCTCCCAGGGTCCCTGTGGAGAGACAGGGCATGGCGCACCCTGGCCCGGAGCCGGCGTGCCTCTCCAGTGAGAGGCGGTGGTCTGGCTTCCGGGCATGGCCAGCAGTGGGGGGTGGGGGGACCGAGGTCAGGACCGCCTTGGGCACGTCCCTGGCCCTCTCTGCGCCCCGGGCTCCTCACCTCACGGGAGATACCCAGCGTGTGGCTGGGGTACCCCCCGCCTCTGGGTTCTCACACTTCCGTTCAGCAGGCATCACCTGTTGCCAGCCAGAGAGTGAGCTGGGGCCCACGCTGGGCGGGGTGCGAGGACACCCCCACAGCAGCGCCGTCGTCCAGAGCCGGGTGGGCTGGGTACGGCCCCCCGCCAGCCCCGCGGGCCTCCAGGGTGGACTGACCGTGGGGCCCCTCTAACGGGGGCTGCGCATGGCGGGCGCCCCGGCGCCTCGGGGTAGAGGAGGTGCAGGAGGCAGCCCCTGCCCTGTGAGCCCGCTGCGCCTTTCAGCACGGTGGCTAACACAGTGTCTGTGAGGCACCGGGGAAGTGGCGCCATGGCCAGAGGGCCCAGACCTGCTGCCCAGCTCAGGCACGCCTTTCCTTCTTGAGAGCCCAGGAGCCTGGTGGACGCTCTGGCTGGCTGGCCGGCTGGGGTAAAAGGTGCGTCTCGGCTCCAAACTGCAGCTTTTCAGGAGAGCGCGGCCAAGCCAGGGCCTCCGGGGGTGAGGCGGCCACCTGGCCACCAGGTAGCCCGAGAGCGGCTGTTCAGAGGCCCCTACGCCCACACACCCGCAGCGGGGCCCAGGCACTCCCAGGCGTGTGGCCTGCTCTGCCCAGCCCCCTCGGGGGACAGTCCTGCTGGATGACTCTCCACGCTTCCAGTCTTGGTGTCCCCCAGAGAGGCCAACTCCTTGCTGTCGGCAGACTGAAGTCTGGGAAGGGAGGACGCCCGGCAGGGGCGGGGGCTGGTCCCTGGGGCTTTGGCGTGACCTTGTTCTCGGGCCCCACAGACAAGGGGCTGGGCCCTGTCCGCCAGCGGCTGCCAGTTCACAGGCAGCTGAGGAATCTCTGCTCACAGCCTCTGCTCAGGGTCTACAACCCTCCAAGTTGCGCTGGCAGGGACGCCCCCAGCCTGGCAGAATTCAGGGGACAGCTTCATATGCGCACACGAGGCTGAATCCTCGGGACGGATGGCCTCCCCGCGGGGCACCGGTGCTGGCGGCACTGGCGTGACGTCTGGACGCTCCCAGCACAGTCCTGCCGTGACACGGGGGAACAGGAGCTCTGTCTGCTAAGACAAAGTACTGAGCCCTCAACAGAGATAGTACCCAAGGCTCCCCCTGCTCCCCACCTCCTAGAGCAGCAATAGCAGCAACACAGGGCTTATGAAATGGAACCCCCAATATACCTCATGTGTACCTCGAAAGCAGTTGAGTATCACACCTGCCCTGGCTGATCCGAATTCCTCTTGGCCCGCCCTCTGGCTGCTGCCACCTCGACAGTGCCACCCACTGTGCCGCTTCTAGTGTCGTGACCTTGGGCAAGCAGTTCTGCCTCTCCAGGCCTCGGTTCTTTATCTATAAGGTGGGAATCAGAATAGAGCCGACCTCACGGTCCTGTGTGCTAAGCAAAGTAGAGAACTCTGCTTAGCACATCACCTGTCACCCGTCATCATCTTCATCCGGTCATCACCATCAGCATCGTAACTGCCATCATCATATCACCCCTTCGTCCTGTCACCATCGCCATCACCATCACCATCACCACCACCACCATCATCGAGACCTTTGGGACTAACGTATTCTACTGGGTTGCCAGCCTGGATCTTCCCCAGACCAGACTTCCCCTGAGAAAGGGTGCCTCCTCCCTCAGCCCCCAAGATCCACCCCTGAGAGGGAACGGCGAAAGGCCTCCTGGGAAACGTTCCCCGCATGATGCTGGAGAAGGTGTATCTGTGACTCTGGAGTGGGAACCCCCATATTAGTCAGAGAAATCCTGTGATTTCTGGGGTTTACCAGAGACCATTGCCTGTTCGTTTTGCAATTTGGGCCCTGAAAATCCTATAACAAACCTTCCCATGGAGAAGGAATCGGGAAGAAAGAGAAGTGATCGCATTTTCTGGGTCCAGTGGCTGAAGATACTGACTCCTCTGCTGACACTCCCCTGCCTGGGCTAGCGGGAGCCCCCCACACGCACGCACACCCACACACTCAACTCAGCCCTGCAGGGTTCACCGTCGGGGCAAGGCTGGATCCCCCTGTAAGTGGCTGGGGGGCCAGGAGGAGGCTCGGTCACCGTCACACTGCCCTCCGAGGCCGCTCCCTCCCCAGCCCCAGAGGAAGCCAGTCCTCTTCCACTGTGGGGCAGCTGGACTGACGTGAGCCGACTTTTCTGGGCGCCTGCCTCTCCATTCCGAATGTCAGGTCAGTGGGGTGGGGTGGAGCCTCAGTTTCCTCCTCTAAATTAGTTGGGGTGGGAGGGAGCACCTCTCAGAGTTGGGGAGGACTCGTGGGGTGGGGACTGGGTGTCTCCAGTGAGCCATCAGCCAGTGGCAGCTCTTCAACCACCTGAAGAACGCACCACGTGACCGCCGAGGGGCCAGGCACCTGCGAGGTGACCCAGCCGGGAGAGCCTCATGGCCGCCAGCCTCACAGACGCTGCAAAGCCTGCTGCGTGTGGGCTGCGGCAGGGCCTGCCAGCCAGTGTTGCTCTGAACCAGCCACGCGGGGCTGGCTCCCCACACTGGCCCAGGCCCACGGCAGATCCTGCCACCTGCCCGCCTCTCCAGGCTCCAGAAGCTGTGGGAGGAGCTTGGGCTACAGCCAGACAGACCTGAGGCCAGTCAGGCTTTGTGAGGTGCGCGCCTCACCGGGCAAGTGTCTTCACATTCTGAGCCTGTTTCCCCGTGGTGGGGAAGACAGTGGGGTTTCCGCAGATCTAGGGTGAGTGCCATGGCCCTGAGCATGCGAGCACTCACTGGTGACTGATCCCTCCACGAGCCGCCCGCCCCCACGCCCCACCTGTCCGTGCACCTGGGACTCCTCCCTCCTTCAGGAAGAACACGAGGAGAGGCTGCCGGGGTGCCGGGTCGGTGGGAGGGGCTGCTTGCACGCCCCCGCAGTGCACGGTATGCCTGAGCTTCTGCTACGCAGGCTGCGTGGACCGTCCCCAGAAGTCGGGGAGCAGGACGGAGGGCCGGTAGCAGCACTGACCGCATCGCTGCCCAGAGGCACCGCTAGTCGCTACAGACAGACGGCGGCCCGGGAGAGGGGCCGTGAGAGGACGCCGGGGAGGGCTGCTCAGCGTGGGTCTCTGGCCTCTGGCCAGCCCCTCAAGCCCCAAGGGCGGTGACTGTCAGACTCTGCCCTGACTTCTGGAAACCCCAGGTCTGTGGCCGGGAGGAGAGCAGCCCTGGAGGCCGGCTGTTGCCAGCCCCCGGTGAGCAGGAGGTTGTGACAGGTTGAAGAGCCACGCCCAGCTGGCAGGCCGGGACGAGCGATGCGGCGGTGGGGAACCGTGGCGCTTGTGCGTGCGTGGCTTCCCACAAAGGAGAGCACGTTCCGGCGTGTCGCGTGACTGCACGCCGGCCTCTCCGCACAGGAGAGAGGAGGCGCCCTGACCTGTGGGCTGGGTGGGACGGGCCCCTGACCGCCACCTGCCGTGGGGTATGGCGGGGGCAGGCCCGAGACCGACTTTCCAGGACTCAGGCGACCAAGCACACGCTCTTCACAGAGGAGAGCAGCTGTTGGCAGGAGGGTGGGCACTGGGGCAGACACCCCGGGACTTGGGCCCTCGCGTGGCGGGCCCCAGACGATCCCCAAGAGCAGTTCCTCCTCGGGAAGAGGACAGCACGGCCCCTGGCGGAGGAGTCTGAGCTGCACTATGCAGACGGAGCACGCGATGAGGGCGGGTGCCCGCCGGCCACGGGGGTCCGGAGCCCTGGGCCACGTGCCCAGCCTGGCACGGCAGCGGGCGACAGAGGGGCCTCTGGCAGGGAGTCCGGCCCGGGCCAGGGCAGGAGCTCTGGCTTTTTGAGTGTGGTTACGTCGCCAGGCCAGGGGGCAAGGACAGCTGTAGCTCGGGGCTGGCCAGGCTGCAGGGCGGAGGAGGCTGGAGGAGGGAGTGGACGCAGGACGCGGCTCTGAGGGGAGAGAGCAGGGCCAGCTCCCGCCGAAAGGTTAAGCAGTGAAAGGGTCGCTGCTGGGTGCTGGGATGAGAAGCTGGAGGAGCAGGCTGGACACAAGCCATGGGAGGCCACAGCGCAGGTTTGCAGGGACTGTCCAGAGGAGAGGGCGGAGCGCTCGGGAGAGCCCGGTGTCGCGCTTGCCCTCCCCGGCCCGACGCCGAGGCTGCCCGGGTCTGTCTGGGCGTGCGCCTCGAAGTGTCTCGAGCTCACCTTGGCAGGGGTGGGCGCCAGGTCTGGTCACCCCTTTGCGCTGGAAGGGTGGCTGTCCAAGTCAAAGGTGAAGGCATCGTTAGCTGCAGGCTGGGGACCTCTCCAGGCGCAGACTCTGGGAGCCTCCTGTTCACTGGCAGCCCCAGATGTGCCCCAGATGTGCTTACAGCGTGACGGGGGCAGGGGCGGCTGGGCGTCCGGGCGCCGGAGCTCACGGCACACGTGGCCCGGGTGCTCCGGCCGCCTCGGAGGACCTGGTCTTTGGACTGCTGCTAAAATTCAGCCCTCTCCCTCCGAAGCAGGGGGCGCCTCTACGCCACACTGGGGCCCAACTGGCGGGTTCCGGTCCGGAATTCTCCCAGAACCCGGAGCTGCGTCTACAGGTACTCACTTACTCGCTTACCTTCACTGGGGGACAAAGCTGCCGGGCGCCTGCGGGGGTAGGCAGACCAGACGGGGCGCACCTCAGCGGGTGAGGCCAGTGCTACAGGAGATGCCCAGCGGAGGGGCACAGGTGTGCGGAGGAGGTGGGGGAGGGGAGGGGGCAGGAAAGGCTGCCTGACATAAGACTGGAAGGACCTGGGGAGCCACCGACCCTGTAACGGGAGGAGGGGGCATGTGGGGAAATAGGAGTGTAAGAAGTCAGACGGGGCGGCCGCCTGCCTGGAGAGGAGGGCCCCCCCCCCTGTGCTGACTTGCAGGGGGCGTGGGGGTGATGTCCGGTGGGGCCCATGGGCAGCGGTCAGACAGATTTAGGGTGAGGCTTGATTAGGTTGTGGGGATGAAGCAGTAAGAGCAGAAACACCACGGGCACGCCCTCACCTCCCCGACAGGGTGCTGGCGGGTGGTGGAGGAGGAGCGGTGGGGGAAGGGGTGCTGGGGGAGGCCCAGCAACAGCGCCCCGCCTCTGCTTGGGAGACAGGCCTGGGCTGGTGAGGCACTTGCGTGTCTTCGCCCATAGGTGGCGCCTGAGTGCGACAGTGGGAAGGAGCTGGGAGGAAAAGATGGGACCCGGGGCCCCTGGTCTCCTCACTGGGGCCCCTCTCCCGGCCCTTGCTGCTGCTCCACACAGGAGGGGGGGCCGCTTGGGCACCAAGCTCCCTGGTAGAAAGGGAGCCCCAGGGGAGCGCCAGGAGGCAGCCTCTGCGGCCACAGGCGAGCCAGCTGGCTCACGGGGTTGGTCAGCTGGAGCTGTGCAGCCCCAGCAGGGTGGGGGCGGGGGTGCGCCAGGGCCGCCTCCTGCCCTCCGCCGTCCCCCTCCCTGGCCTTGCCCAGCACTGGAACACCCCAGGGGTGAGCTCGGACGGGTGCTGTCCCCACAGCCCTGCTGGCCCGTGCATCTGCGCGCCGGGGAGCTCAGCAGCGGTGCCCACCATGGAGGGGCCCCTGAGAAGGAAGACCCTGCTGAAGGAGGGCCGGAGGCCGGCGGTAAGTGCCACTCGCCAGCCACGCGGGGCGATGACCGCTCCCACAGCGCCAGGAGGTCAGCGGTCCTGGTCCTGGGGAGCCGGGAGCGGCCAGCGGCGCGGCAGCACGCACCCGAGCGTGGCCGCTAGCTTGCCGCCGAGTGGCAGCCTGAGGCCTGGGGTCGGGGTGCCAGCCCCCACAGGGCCACAGGGCCGCGGGGCCCAGCGCAGCCCCAGAGCAGGGCGGCTGTCCTCTAGGCCCGCGTTTACCAGGAAGCCACAGGTGCCCAGGTGGCGCTGCCTCACGACCCCCGGCGGGGCGCGCCCTGACCCCCCAGAGGCCTCGCTCTGCGCCCGGAGCGTCCGCGCCAGTGCCCGGCAGCGGTCTGCAGGCAGCGCGTGTCGCCTGCCCTCCCAGCCGGGCCCTCTTGCCCCATCGCTGCCCACAGGGCCCCGGAGACCCCGGGGGAGCCCCTCGCCCAGCTGCTGCCTCTGGATGCTTCTGTCTAACGGTGTCAGGTGGTGTGCGGGTGCAGAGGGGACCACCCCAGCACCCCACTGTGGGGCCGCAGTGGCGGCGCCCTAAAGGCAGTGCTTTCCCGAACGCTGGCAGCGGGGAGCCCCTGGAGGGACACGAGCAGAATCCTCACGTAGGCTAGAGTAGCCTGGGAAATGTCAGCACGCGTGGCAGCACGAAAGGTAAGCGTGGCTTCACGAACCTGCTGAGGGCTGTTGGACGCACGTGGTGTACACCTGTGGGTGTCGGTCAAGGTGTGGAAACTCTGTTCTCACCTTCGGCGGGCGAGCGGCCCCCCAGCTGGAGAGAGGCCTGGCAGGCCGTGACACAGCACACCGGGACCAGAGGGTGGGTCCACCTAGGCAGGACCTGGAGGCCGCTGAAGTGGGTGTCCCCAAAACAAGGAGCAGAACGCACGGCGGGACTCCTGCCGTTACCCCTAAAGATACAGAACCCCTGCGCGTGAGGCCACAAAGGCCCGGAAGCATTGCTAGGCGTCGCCAGCCGGGCCCCGCTGCGGCCTGCAGCTCTGTGAGGCAGGCTTAGCTTGTCTGTGCCTTTTAAATGTTTGCCCCCGGGCCCTCCCTGGTGGTGTGTCAGGGTAGAGCGCAGCACTGCAAGCTGGCCACAGCCGCTTCAGTGCAGAGTTCGATCCTCGGCCCCGGAGGTGTGACCCACATGGCACCGCAGGCCTCTCCTGACCCACCCGCTGCTCCCCTCAGCGGTGTCTTCTTCGATCTGCCTGTCCTGCTCCCCACTCTGTCTCTGGTGAATCCTCTCACCCCCTGTGCTCTGGCCTGTACCCCAGCTCTGTATGCAGAGATAAATACATCTTAAAAAAAAAATTCGTTTTCCTCATCCAGGACATTCTTGGTCCCAGACCACCACCCTGGGCTTTGCCCGGGCAAGGGCAGAGCCTGTCCAGAGAGGGGTAGGCCTGGGGCAAGGCCCTGAGCAGACGTGGTCGGAGGGGAGGCCGGGGCCAGTGGAGGGCGCCTTCTGCCCGCGGGGCTGGGTCTGCAACCGCAGGGTCCTCACTGCCCGCTCCTCCGCAGCTGTCCTCGTGGACCAGGTACTGGGTCACACTCGCGGGGTCCACCCTCCTGTACTACGGCGCCAAGTCCCTGCGGGGCACAGACCGAAAACACGTAAGTTCCAGGACGGCCGGAGCGTGCTGGGGCCTCCCCTAGTGTCACGTGTGGGCGTGGTGGGGGCGGGAGGACGGGGCGGGAAGGGGTCTGCTGCCGCCTCGGGCCGGGGGCGAGCTCCTCAGGCTGTGCCGCTGCTCTTCCCCAGTACAAATCCACACCCGGCAAAAAGGTCTCGGTGGTGGGCTGGATGGTGCAGCTGCCTGACGACCCGGAGCACCCAGACATCTTCCAGCTGAATAACCCCGACAAAGGTAGGCGCGTCCCGGGGCCGCGGCCCAGGCCTGCTCCTGGCTCTGCCCCGCTTTCCCCTCTGCTGAGGTACATTTGGAAATAGCAGGGACGTCTGCGACGGCTGCTGTCTCTCTGACTCGGGTTGAGCGTCCCACGGGCCGTGCGCATGGCGGCGGCGTGTCCCCGAGCAGAGGGCACAGCACAGCAGTGTGCAAGGCGCCTGGCCGCAGGAATCTCTGTTGGGGCCTCACCTGCAGCCGCTCGGGGCCCAGCACCACCACCCCGCAGCTGTCGCCTCAGGGTCTGGGGATAAGTGATGTGATGCCGGCTGAGGCGCCCGGCCCGCGGCTGGAAGGGCCTTGTGCCCCGGGCTGTCTGTGCCTGCAACCCCCAAATCAGAGGAGAGCCTTTGACCGAGGCTCCGGCTTGAACTTGCGCCGTCCTCGCCGCCGCGCCCTCCTTCCCCTGCGGCCACGCTGGAAGAGGAGGCGTGGGCGCCAGCCGCTCTCGTGGCCAGAAAAGGCCACACTAGTCCCCCGGGCAGCATGTGTTGCAGGCCAGTTGCCCCGTGGCCGGGCTGTGGGCTCTCGGCTGGCACACTTCTCACCACGAAAGCCCTACCTCAGGGTCCGAGTACATCAAGCCAGCTGGGGGGCTGGTGAAAGTTGCAGCCTGGATTCAGTGAATCTGGGGTGGGGACGAAGCATCTCTCTCCATTTCTAACAAGCTCCCAAATAAGACAGGCTGCTGCTGGCCGGGAGGCCACTCGCGAGTGTCAGGGTCCTCATGTTGTCCGCTGGAAAGTAAGGTGGCCATGAGCCTCAGGGAGCCCCGGGTGGCGGGGCGAGGCAGACGCACCGGTCCGGGGGTATCCGAGTGAACACCCATACGGGTGCCCGAGCCGCTGAGCGCAGGCGGTTCTTGCTTGCGACTCGGGGTCTGGCTGCGGGTGGCTTCTTGCAAAGTGGGGCTGTGCCCGCCAAGCTGGCCCCGAGGACCTGTGCCCTGGGGTGCACAGGCCATTTGCGGGCCTTAACCCAGCGGACAGCGCTGTCCCCAAGCAGAGAGAAATGGCCAGAACCCAGGGAGGCTGTGAACGTGAGGGGGGACGCGGCCTCTGTCCTCGCGGACTGCCAGCCCCCACTCAAGGGTCCGCGCCGCCTGTTCACCTGCAAGGCGCCGAGCAGGCGGCTCGTAGGTGCAGGCAGGGCTGCCTCGCACCTCTGCTGCCACCTGCGGTCTGCAGGCCGCCCGGCCTCGTGCACGCGTCTGAAGACGCCGGGGTCAGACTGAGCCCCCATTTGTTTCTCCATAGTTGGACCACTGTGTTTTCATGTTAGTGTTACCGACTTCCTTTGGATTTTATTGTATTCACTTAAAATTTTATTCTGGGGAGGGCCCCAGGCATCCGCAGTGGAGCCGTGGGCTCGGGACAGCCCGAGACCAGGGGTTCCCTCCACTTAGCCTCCCACAGGTGTGTCCCCTTCACATCTACCCCCGGGCCGCAGCCAGCGGGCCCTTCCCAGGAGCCTCTCGGTAACCTCCGGCGTCTCCACCTGCAGGCAATGTTTACAAGTTCCAGGCTGGCTCCCGCTTCCACGCGATCCTGTGGCACAAGCACTTGGACGATGCGTGTAAGAGCAACAGGCCTCAGGTACAGTCCCCAAGGCCTTGCTGGTCACTCCCCCTTCCACCCCCGGGCCCTAGCCAACAGGCTTCCTACCCTCAGAGCCTGTCAGCTCTCGGGCCAGCCTTCCCCCTGAGACAGAGCGCCCCTGCTGAGCAGACTCCTGAGCCTGTTCAGACCAGAACCTTGAAGCTGGTCCTGTGTCTTCCCACTAAAGGAAACGCCACAGAAACATCCCCCTGGGGGAGAACCAGGTGCAGCGTCTGTCTAGATCATCCCCTGAAAAGCTGGTTTCTTGGGAATTCTCCCACCAGGTCCGGGCCCCTGGAGTAACAGTAAAGCTGAGGCGTTGAGGGCCAGCCGTGGGCCAGGCCAGGCGCTGAGGAGCGGGGCGCTCCTTGACAGCGTAGCACCTCCGATCTGCTGGGCCTGGCTCGGATCGGCTCCCGCCCCGGGCGCCCCTCTCTGAGCCAGTCATTATTCAAAGTGCTTTACTTGCAGGGACTGGCCGAATCCTCCCAACATTCCTGGGAGGTAAGTTCTCTGCTGTCTCCACTTCATGCTGAGGACACAGGCTCAGAGTGCAGGCGCCTGTGTGAGGTGCCAGGAGCAGGGAGCCCGGCCCGGGGCTGGCTGCCACCGGAGGCTGCTTCCCTCAGGCCCCTCAGCCCCTGTGGGAGAGCTGAAGGCCCAGAAGCACTGCCCTGGCTCCTCCTCCCTCCCGCCCTGGGTGGGTGGCGAAGCGTTCAGCCTGCCGGGCCAGGACGGTGCTCCTGTCCCTGGGTGCCCTCTCCGTGTGCCCTGGGGATCAGCCAGAAGATGGGTCTGAGGAGCTGAGCCCCCCTCACTCTGAGGAGAGAGCACCAGGGCAAGTGGTGGAGGAGGAGTGGGAGCAGCTGGTCAGCGCAGCTGAGTCTTGAGGACCCTGGCAAAGGCGAGATCACGCTAGGGGTTCAGGCGCCCGCACGGGCTGGTGCCGGAGCCGCACAGACTTCTGGGCCGCGGAGCCGTGGCGGCCTGTCGGGGGCTCCGTGTCCTGCTTGGTCCTGCTCAGCACTTGCACCTGTGACACGGATGAGACGGCGCGCTGGGGTTCAGGGCGCCCCGGGGCTCTGACCAGAGGCAGGGGAGCCCCAGGCCTGGGCACACACGACAAGCCATCGGATTACAGATGGTGAAAAACTAGAAAGCAGCATTAGCAGATAATCCTTGAGGAACTACAACAGTAGGGACAACATGGGTCAACTGAGGGCTCGCAGGGAAGCGTCAGGTGACCTCTGTGGGCCCTGGGCTCACCGGCCTGCCTGGCACGTGGGCCTGGGCTCACCGGCCTGCCTGGCACGTGGGCCTGGGCTCACCGGCCTGCCTGGCACGTGGGCCTGTGCTCGTGCTCCCTGATGGGAGCAGACCCGTGTTCTTGGGACGCTGCCCGGCCCTGTGGTGCCCGGCACGCAGGACAGCAGGGAGAGAGATGAAGGCAGGCGAGCAGACTGCCCCAAGGAGCTCAAGGCACGAGCCAGACCGTGTGGCCGTGTGCACAGGTTGAGCTCGCGCGCTAAGGGACGCACGTGTCTACTGTGGCCTCGTAGGTATACCAGAAGCTCTAGTCCCGCGGCTCCAGAGCAGCAAGTGATGTAATTGCCCCTTGAGGGGGACACCAGGGGGCTGGTGGACGGTGCCCTCAAGGTGATGCGAGGTACCTCAAGCAAGGCCTTGAGGCCGGACTGGGGTCACGTTAAGAGCGGCAGGGCTTCCCACCTCCTTTGTGCTGGGCCCGCGGTGTGTGTCTGGGGCTCCTCACCGCTCTGAGCACCTCCCTGAGAACACAGCACTGCTCTGGTGGCCCGGGGCTGTGGCCGGGAGGAGGGCTGCTCCGAGCCTGGCCACCTGGAGGGGCCGGGAAGGCGGAGGCCGTGGGCGCTGCCCTGTGCCCCAGGAGCAGCGGTGAGAGCGTGAGTGAGCCGGGGCCCAGACTCAGCCCTCCCGGCAGGCAGCAGCCGGCTGAGCGCGCGTTTCCGTTTCTAGTTTCTTGGGAGGACGAAAGCGCTGACTCGGTGCCGGTGCCGGCAGGTTTAGTGCAGGGGCGAGGTCTGGCTCTTGGGTAGATTTTCACTGGATTTTCTGGCCCAGGAGAGGGGATCTTCCATCTTGTTGCTCTGTGCTCCTGTGTCCACACCACCCTGCTGTGTGTAATAATGGAAACCTGGCTCAGCTAAATTCTGAGTGGAGAGCTCTCTGCAGATCACCGCCCGCCGCCCGTCCGTGGGGTGGCCCCGGAGGCAGAGGCCGTGGAGGCCAAGTCTCTGTTACCCCGATGAGCGCTGTCTTTTTCTGGGCTCTCCTAACACTGAGCACGCTCAGGCCACCCTTCCACGCGACAGCCCAGCCTCCCTCCTGCTGTTCGCCTGCTTCCTGCCCTTTACACAGCTGGTACCTGTACATGGCTCCCTGATACCTTGTGTGGGGTGCATTTTTGGACATGTTTTTTATAAGTAGAAACACGACCAGCCTCTTCTGGCCCAGTGCACTCCCAAGAGTCACTTGCGTCCATGTGAGGGTCCACGTGTGCACACTGACCCGTATTTCAGTTCTCTGTCGTTGCCCCATGGTGCTCTCAGCTTCCCGCTGTTTGAACAGGCTCCCGTGGCTGTTAGGACGACGTCCTGGTGCGAGGAAGTGCATTTTTTCTAATTCATCATTTTGACCAAGTTGACACCAAGATGGATGTGTTTGGGCTGAAATTGCTTGCAATCAGGTCCCCTGGGTCCCCTCAGGGTGCTGGGGAGGCGGGGTGGGGGTGGAGTGGGTGTTAGCAGTTTTGAGAGCAGGGAAGAACCTGGCCTCGGGGCTGGGGGTCTCCTCAGTAAAGGGAGCTGGGATCTCGTCCAGGGGACACAGCCACGAGAAGGTCTTGGGGCTCCCACTACCCCCAGACTTCCTCCCTCTTCTGTGCTTCCACTCACCAGTTCCTCCTTCCTCTAGCCAGCCTCCTGTCACTTGCCCCCCCCGCCCTCCAGAGCAGACACTGCACCCCATAAGCTTTGTCCCCTTCAGGGGCACTTTTATCTGGTCAGAGGTTGGGAGCTCGGCTCCGCCGTCCTGTGCTCACCTCTCTGAGCCTCAGTCTCCTCATCTTTAGACTGGGGGTGACCTGGCATCTGCCTCCTGGGGTAGCTGTGAGGGTGGAGTCCACGGTGCGTAGGGAGAGTCCAACAGGGCACGCAGTGACCCCCACAAGGGGGGACAGTTCTTACTGCCCTTCCCTCTGCCTGCCTGACCCGCTCAGACACTGCCTCCCTGGGAAATGTTTGCTCCCCACCCTGAGCGGCCCCCCTTCCCCCCTCCCAAAAGGTTGGAACTCTGACCAGAGGCTGAGCTTTCTCTTCTAGGTACCTGCAAACCTTATGTCATTTGAATAAGTCTCTGCAAGACTTGGCGTGACTTCAAAGGCTTCTGGGAGCCCGGCCCGGAACTGGGGGTGAAGCGCAGGTCCCGGGCACAGGCTGTTGCCCAGGGTGCTGGGAGACTCACAGCCGGACTCCAGGGGACGTGGCGGGCAGCCTCACCATCCAGAGTGCTCCGCTGGCCTGGGATCCACCCGGGTGCGGATCCCCAGAGACGCTGCCCACACACCCACTCTGCAGCGCCCCTTCTGGGCTGTGGTTGGACCCCAGACTGTACACCCTGCCCTGCCCTCCCTCTCTGGGCCCTCGACCTTCCACCAGCTGCTGCTGCTTCTACTGGAGAGCGTTGGCCCAGCCGGGCCCTGAGTGTGTTCTCCTGCACAAGAGTGGACCGTGTGAGCCTGCACGAGGGGCCAGAGAAGGGACAGGCCGCAGAACTGGCTTTTTACACCCCAAGTGCGCGGGGCCACTCGCCCACGGGGCCGCCTCAGATTTTGTATCCCCCCCGAAGCGTCCTCTGCGTGTGCGTGCCGTGGATGTGTGCGTGCGAGCCGGCGAGTGTGACCTCTTCAAGAAACATGCATTTTGGCACAAGACTTGTGACATCACACACTTCATCGGCGTGGAGGCCCTGCTTCAGCCGTCCGTGATGGCCTCGGCCTCCGAGGAAGCTCAGCGTGGAGCCCGGACCCTCCTGGGCTGAGGGTCCCCTGCATTCCTTCACTGTAAACAAACAATGCCTTAAATTGTGTCTCGCTTTCTGTTCCTATGGGTGCTATTCATCTGGAAGGCTGCTCCCCGGCCCCCGGCTCCCTTCCGAGCCTTGTTGATGTGGCTCTTCTGAGACAGGACCCGGCTTCAGGACTGTGGACTGGGCCGCTGGCCTGCGGCTTCCTCCGGTCCTCCCCTCCAGCTCCCCGCCGTGGCAGAACCGGAAGTCGTGATCTTCCTGCTTCCCCGAAGCGGCCTGGAGGCGCAGGCTCACGCGGCGGCCACGCAGAGGCTACTGCGCACCGCCTTCCCGCAGGGCCAGGCTGTTGCCCTGACCTCTCACCCCTTTGCCTCCACTGCCAGGGCAGGGCCCCCTGGGGTTCCTGGTGATGCTAGGGAGCTGAGTGACCCTGAGGCCTTAAGCGCCCCCAGTCTTGCCCCCCAACGCAGTCACCAGCAAGTTCTCCATCATCCGGGTCCAAGGGCGCAATTGTTGATGACCATGGTGATGAGCGAGCAAAGGCCTGGGAAGTGGACAGTCCAAGCTCCATCTTCAGTTAAGAGACAGATGAAGGTCCTTTCTCTGTCACTTTGTCCTATTTTAAGTGACTTTTATTTTGCACAAATACATTTTTATTCAAAGTAATGAATAAAGATTAGCTTTAAGGTAGCTTTATCCCCATAGCTTTTCTCCCTCTCTCCCTCCCTCCCTCTCATCTGAGTGTCCCTAGTTCTGAAAAGGAAGCCCTTGAGTGGTTTTCCAGAAGACACTGAATTTCTGGGTCCTTGTGGGGAACATGGTTTCAGTGCTCACTCAATCAGATATCAAACTCCCCTTAAAAATGTCTGGGCAAGATGCTGCCAACCAACATCTTAACAGTGGACTGTAACAGGTCAGTTCACAGAGGACCCACCTCGGTATTTTGATCCAACAGTGAAAAACTTTCTGAAAATGGAAAGAAGTGTGCGGCCCTAGATGTCATAGGGCCTTGCTCTGGGGTGGGTCTCTCTGGGCTCAGTCACTAACTGTTTGGAGTAAAGACTAGAATACTTCGGTGCCAGGAGAAACTCCAGAGGCAGAAGTCAATGCTGCCAGGCCTTGGGCCTAAAGGTTGAGCACGCCAGCTGCCGCCAGGCCCGGACGCCTGTGCCTGACACATCCGAGGAGCCCTCTGGGCATCTCGAGGCTGGGCCAGCCCTGCACTCTGCACCCCCGTCCTGCTGTGACTGACATTGAATCTGTCTGCTCACTCTTCAAGTCTGAGGCTTGGAGGAAAATGTGAAACTGGAGCGCCAGTGACCTCTTTCCCTTGGGCTTCCCTGTCTTCATGCTGGCCTGGTTTTGTGCACATCAAGTATTTTAGATGCCAATCCCCAAACCTCAGCGTGGCAGGCTCTGGCTCTCCAACTTTTCTTCCCTTTATAGACACCCTTTATCTTTCACAAGTGTTTTCCTCTGAGCCTAATTTTGAAATAGCACAACCGCAATTCATTTCAAAGTGCTTCGTCTGCTCATTAATTGACACCAATTGAGGGGACCCCACATCCCCTCCTGGAAGCACCCTTAACTTGGACTCTGAAGGAATCTATTTAGGACTTTGTTGGCAACGCCTCATGAAAGTGGTGAGAACACGGAACATGCCAGAAGTGTCCTGGACCTGAGCCGAAGGACAGCTGCCTCCACAGCATGTGAGTCGAGGGCTGTGACCTCTGTGGCAGTGTTGGTGTGTCCTGCAGGCTGCAGGGGAGGGGCGGTGGGGAACAGGACTAGCCCCCCAACGGGAAAGTCAACGGCTGATTTCTGGTCTTGCTCCCCGATTGTAAAGCAGCGGGGGTCACACACCTTGCATGCTTATGCTGTATCTTTATTTTTAAGCAAACAGATCATGGCACCCCAACATGGAAATTCTAGAATGTTGTCTGCAAACTGTGGAGTAGGCAGCCAGTCTCTCTCTATGGTCCCCCCCAAACAGCCTACTTCTCCCTTGAAGTAATTCTTGCCTCTCAAAGGTGGACACATTTTGTGATTCAAAGTTAGCCAAGTGCATCCTGACAACCGAAATCCTTCATGGGGGACTGATTCGGTGCCAAGTGTTCTGAGTGTCCTCAGTGACAGTGTGTGACCTCCCTCCCCATCTGGAGGATGCCCATTCGCTGCCACTGTGGAACCCAGAGAGGAAAGAACCCCTCTCTCTTGCCAGCTGCTTTTCGAAAGCACTTATTTCTCACGAAGATGGCCAGTGTTTCTTTCATCATCTCCCTCCCACCTCCTGAGCCCAAGAAGTTTATCTATTAGGGTGCCGAACAGAAAATGGTCTGTGGAAGTGGGGCACCGTTAGCAAATAAGGGGAGTTCAGAGCCCTTCACTTACCTTATCGGCATTTGTAACCAGGTGACTTGCTCAAAACACAACCTTCTTTTTTGTGAGTTCTGAAATGACTTTAACAAGCCCCATATCTTCCTGACATTGGGTCATTTCATGTTTAAAAAAGGAAAACAACTGCAGGAGTCCCCTTGAAATCACGGTCCTTCTCACAGCCACCCACGCACACATTCCTAAAGACCTCTAGAGTGTTTCCTGCGCGCCTGGCCGTACCGAATGTCAGCGGCCGAGAACAAGACAGACCTGACCCCTGCCCTTCCAGAGCTGGCCACTCAGCAAGCAGAGCCTCTCGCCGGCCACCTCAGCACACCCTGTGCAGACTGCTCCAGAAGGGCTTCACAAGACTCCACAGGCTGCAGAGCTCGACCTGTGCATTCCGCTTTGGTGACAGCTAGATGGAGTGGCAGTCCCAGCGGCTGGACGTCACAGGACAACCGCCCAGTGCCACGGTTGGGCACGCTGAGGTCCCCGAGGTGGCAAGAGGGAGGAGGCTGAATGTTGACAGTATTTACCTCCGAGTTTTCCTTGGTTTTGATTTCAGTGTTAAATACAAGAACAGCATGAGTGCAAGCTGCATTTCCTTGGGTGTTGAAACTTGGACCGTGAGCCAGCTGGCAGCTCTGTGCAGCACAAGTACCTGTATTTGGGGACACCCCAAATCCCTGCTCTTGGCGGCAACACGATGGATCGATCATCTGTTCATTCTATCAGCATTCATCTCTTTATCCATTTCTGAACGAGTATGGCCATTCAGTAATGAAACAATAGTAATTAATTTATTAGTGTGGTGTAATCTTTAATCAAGTTTGTGCCAAAATGCATGGTTTTCCACTTAGCATTCAGAATGTTGCATAGACAGTAGTTTTCAATTTCTTATATATCCTCCAAAGTAAGTTGGAAATCAGTTTCAACGTTTTAATTCGTTTCTTGTTGAATCTGTCGCACTCTCCCGGGCTGTCTCTTTTTATTTTTTCCAGCAGGCCCTGCATGCGCTTGTGTAAGGACTCTCTCTAATTCCTGTGAATTGTCTCACCTGCCGTAACCACTGAACATCAGCCCTTCATGGGATTATTTAGATTTTTTTGGTGAAGTATTTTGTTACCTCAGTCTTGTATCAAGTTGCTGTATTTTTCAGCTTGTTACACTGATAATTGTTTCACTAATTAAATACTTTAATGTACAAACATCTTTGTTTACTTTGAAATTAAATGTGTTTTCCAATGACTGTTGTTTAATTTATTAAAGTCACCCGCATTTACTTACCAAATGGCGAGGTGAAGGAGGCGTGGTACACTCAGAACCCAGCTAAGAAGTTACTGGAACATGAATGACTTCCAGGAAGGGACAGAGCCAGTGTGGGCACCAGGGGAGAAAGGGAGGCGAGATCCCGTGTGGATTTAAAGGGCAGGGGCATTTGGATTTTCAGACCCTTGTGAACATGTGGGTGTAGGGTGGAGAAGGTGGGAGACAAAAAGCGAAGGATCCTGGTGCTGGTGGGGAAAGCAGTCAACCTGAGCAGAAGCCCGAGAAGATGTGCTGGGGGAAATGCATGCCGTGTGGTGAAATCTAGAAACCGACTGTAGCTCGCTTTGGAGCAGAAGGGGAACTGGCTTACAAGGGTCTCACTCACAGCTGAGGGGCCGGCCAAGGCCCAAGGGAAGGACCCCGCCCCCCCCAGGTCTCAAGGGGTGGAAATGGAGAGCCTGCTCCATCACTCGGCCCCTTCATTCTCACCCCACTGTTCTCTGCTGGACTGTGCTGCCAGCCACCACACGCTCTTGCCAGAACGCGCCTGAAGGCCTGAGCGTGTGTGAACCAGGGTGACAGATCCGAGTGGCCGAGAGAGCCCCTGGCCCTGCCTGCGTGTCCCAGCTAATACTTTCCTAAGTGGCTGGGCCTCCAAGCAGAGGTTTCCCGCACTCTTTTCCCTTCCTCTCCCCATGCAAGCCCAGCATGGTCACACCTCCCTAACTATGACGAACTTATTTTGCCGCGGGACCCCAGCTCACCTCCTCCCCACCATTTAGATCTTACGGTGACCCCCAAGTTTATTTATCCAGGTGGAGTGGTTGTGTCCCGCCTGGGTGCTGCCCTCTGAGAAGGATGCATCCAACTTGGAGAGGAGAGGACGAAGGGGTGAGTTTAGACTTGGACCCTTGACCGACTGGCCGTCTGCAAAACTCCTTCGCCTTTGCCTCACGGCGCCGGGCACCCCAGCACCGCGCCAGGCACCCCAGCACCGCCCCTTGACTGATGCAGAGACACGCATGCACTCACGCAGGCAGCGCATATTTAGCCCCCCCCCCCCCGCGGGGTCACTCGGGGTGCAGCCCACCTACTCGATGGGCGGAACCATCGGCGTGGGCGGGGCCAGGTCCTGGGCGGAGTCCTGGGTGGAGAGGCGTGGCTTGGGTGGAGCCTCGTCCCCTGCAGGGCTGAGGAGGGCGGGGCGGTCGGGGGGGGGGGCGGGGGTGTGAGCCGGACCCTGCTTCGGAGAGAAAAGGTGGGCGCATGCCTGCGATCGGTACTCGGGGAAGTGCGGGCCCGAGAGGGGCCAGTGTTACCTCAGAAAGGGCCGAGAGCTACGCTAGGTGGAGGAACCCAGTCGCGAGGGAGAGGCTCTAGGGGACCGACCCTAGTGGCGAGGGCGGAGGCCACGCGGAGCTCAGTAGCAGAGGAGTCGATGTGTGTGTGTGTGTGGAAGGAGGGGGGCGGACACTGGGTCCTGGCTAAGGGGGCTGAGGACTGGGGGAGTTCGGGCGTGCGGTCAGAGCAACGGTGCCCAGAGCCTTCACTAGAAACCGGGAGGGGCCGGCGCGGGAGGGGCGTAGCCGGAGTGGGGGCGGGGAAGGGCGGGGTCTAAGTCTGATTCCTGGGCCGGAGTGGGCGGGGCTGAAGCGCAGGGTGGGTTCAGGGCGGGGCCTAGGCCCTAAGGCGGGCGCGTGGAGTGGGGGACTGAAGTTAGGGGCGGGGC